TTGGGCCTTAGAGTGTATTGTTGGTGTTCTTGAAGGGGAGAGAAGGAAGTGGATTCACCTTGGAAGCTCAAGACCATCTAGATCCATAAGTATGTTGCCCTCAAACGACCTTTGGAGGTATAAAGTTCAGACCTTGATGTTTATTTGCTTTGGATCTTGTTAGATCTCAAGTTTTGTGCTTTTGGACGTTTTAGAGTGTCTAGAGCTATAAAAGTGGGATATTGATTGTTCATATCCCTCCATGCACACTCTTTAGTGGTTTAGAACCTTGTGTTAAGTTAGGGTTTTGGTGTTGAGCACTTAATATCCATGCAAGATCATAAAGTTCAAAACTTTATGACTTATAACGCTATTTGGGGGCTATGTATGGCTTTAGACGAAAGGACTTAAGTTAATAAGCACTTAATAAGAAAGTTTCCTTCTGCCGAGTATGTTGGGCGTACTTCTGAGTACACTGCGCGTACTCCTGGGAGCCCCGGTTTGGATTAGTGAGTACGATGGGCATACTCAGTCTGAGTTGACTCGATTGACTTTTTGACCTTTGACCTAGACTAGGATTTTGACCTAGGGGTATTTTGGGTATTTTGAGTTGTAGACTAATATTTGGTCACTATTTGTTGTATAGGTGACATGTAGAGTCGGCAGTCCTGATTTGTGTTGAAGGCCAAGACACTCGCGTTAGTCCAGATAGACTGAAGGCCTGCGAGGTGGTCCAGTCAGGCCGAAGGCTCGGAGAGCGGTACAGATAGGTTGTAGGCCCTGCGCGGCGGTCCAGTCAAGTTAAATGCTTATTTATGCATGCTGTTATATGTTATGTTTATGTGTGGTACTTTAGGGGGAACTCATTAAACTTTGACTTACGGTTTAAGTTTTATGTTTTAGGTACTAAAGATGAACGTGGAAAAATAAAGACGTGATCGTGCACATCCTTCTGGTTTTATGTTATTGGAATATGGAGATACTCTTATTTGTGATTTTTGCCTTTGAAAACAATGTTTTGAAAACAATTATGGTTTTTAGTTGGGTTTTAAAAACAAAAATTTTACCCTGATTTTTGGGATGTTACAAAACCTGAATATTATATGGGGTGTAAAGTGTTTTGAAATTTTAGAATTCTGTGTTTATTTAGAAAACTCTGATAATCCCTAATTAACTAGATGAGAAAAAAATCGGGTCCTTACATTCATTCCCTTGTGGAGCCTTTTTATAACTTGCCTCAAAAAATGGTCATGTTTTTGGTCTTTGCCAACTTTCGGATCCTCGGAAACATCGACCCATGCATGGGCAACACCATCACTTTTATGGGTTCTCATGGTTTACATGCAACATTATTTTTTTCTTTTATAATGTTATTTTTTGATTTGGTTTTTTAAATGAATTCGAGATCAATCAGATTCGACTTGAGTTTCTCAAATGAATTCGGGTTGAGTTCGAGACACACAATTGAAGGGATTAAAATCGGTGTTTGATTGGGCTTGTGGTTGTGGTTGTGGGTATTATTATGATATTGTTGTTGATAATCCAATAGCATACCATCATATTGGTAAACATGAGCCAAATACTTTGGTTAATCAAAAGAAAGGGTTGAGTGTTTTCTTGTGGTTGGTTGAGTTGTCAGAAGAAGACATTTTTTGAATTCTTGAGAGATAAATTATAGAGATATTGAAGAAGTGTATCGAGGTGTGGTGAATTTGGGTGTTCAAGGTTTTTTCTAGGTATAAAAATTGAAATTAAAAAAATGGTAACAAATAGGGGTGACAAATCGGACAATCGTGTCGTGTTTTTGTCTGACACGACACTGTTTACGTAACACAAACATGATACGATGTCGTGTTTTTTTTAACTAACACAAAAACGAACCAATTAAAAAACGACAAACACGACACGACACGATGAATATAACATAAAATAATAATTAGTATATTTGATTAGTAATACTTAATCATACATAAAACGACAAACACGACAGACAAATGCTAAATTGTATCAATTTCGTGTTGAATTTTGAACACAAAATGACGTCGTGTTTTTTACACTTGAAATGAATATGAATTCAAATTTCAGTTCGTCATAATTTCGTGTCGTATATTTTTTTTTCGTGTCATGTCGTAAATTGTCACCCCTAGTAACAAACATTGAAGAAGAGAGAGAGACAGTAGAATCAAGAGAAAGAGACCGTGGCAAGATCTAACCGACCTCAACTCAAACCACGTGCCCAACAAGGTGTAGATCACAGATGACATGACATACCACACCCAAAACCGTGACCACACCCTTCAGTCTTACTACCAAACACCTTTTTAGATTTAGTTAATGATTTAAAAAAACATTTTTTAAACTCATTCCAAAAATCTTCTTTAACAGTCGACATAAAACAATTACCCATCAATCCAAAGAGCTTTTTGTCCAGCGGTATCAGAAGTTGCTATTCACTCCTTAGCACGCTTGGTACAGAGAAAGAGAATTACAATATATAATGGAAATGTAGATAAAGAGAATTAAGCTGAGAAAAAAAGAATTGATTACACTGTTTTGTACAATAGATAATTTACTAAAAAAATGTTTCTGAGAATTATTTCTCTTGTTTGGTCGCATTAAACAATAAAATGAAAATGAGTTTTTTTTACCTATGTTTATTTCTTTCCAAACAATATTTTTTTATATAATAATGTGATTGTGATATACATCTTAGTTTGTCAGATTATGTATTTTTTATGTTTATAAATTTTAATTTAACAATTACATTTTTATTTTTATAAATGACTAAGACGTCTTATACACATATCTTGTATTTAAAAACATAACTTTAATATATCAATCATCGAAACATATTAACATAACCAATTTTGAATCACTGTCGAAGATCATCACCTCATTCACAATTTAAATTTAGTCAATTTGACTTTGTATATTCAATTTTGACTTTTTGCTTCGATTCATAACGAACCATAACAATTTTGTTTTCAAGAATCACCAACTCATTTGTAATATAAATTTCAACCTCTTTGAATTAATTCACCACTTGGATTTAATATCACCGACTTGTCTGTCTTTTTATCAAAAGTAAAATCATATTAAAAAGAAAAATATCAATTATATTATTGACTTTGACTAAGAGGGTGTTTGACATTGCTTTTATAATAGCTTTTTAACTTTTAACTTTTTTAAAAAGTCAAAAAAGGCAAAAGTTGTTTGGATAATAAGAAGGTTCTTTTGAAATAACTTTTTGCAAAGAGGAAAAAAAAAAGTTTCAAAAAGTCACATTTTGTGACTTTTTGGGATTTTACATACAAAAATTAGACCAAAAGTCATTTTATTAATCCAAACACATTTTAAATATCATCTTTTGCATGATGTCCTTCTATAAAAAGTCTTACCAAAAGAATTTTTGATGTTCAAAAGCAATCCCAAACACCCCCTAAGGCTTCACAAATCCTAAATCAATGATCTCTTTTAATTCTTGATCACAAGAACCACTTCATTAAGAATCACTCTTCATCAAAACATCAGGCCCTGAATTCAAAACATATGAAATCCTAATTTTGGCTTTTTTTCTTTGACCGATTAATCTTGACATTGCTTCGATATCCTTTGGAATACGAAAGCTTCCAAAAATTCATTCCAATATCAATACGAAAGCTTCCAAAAATTCAATTAATCGCTTCAACAAACACCAACTAATCAACATCCAGTAATTTTTAAATCAAACACAAACCAACAAGTAATCAGAAATCAAAAACCAGTATACATAAATCAACCAAGAATTAGAAATCGATCAAAAAAATAGAAATCAAGTCATACCTTAACAGATAGAAAAGATGTTTTGAAATCACAAAAGTCGTATATGAAATCCATAAGAGCTTGTGAAATTGAAACTAAAGTAGTCGATGTCTGTTGAAGCTGTGAAATCTAGAAGCAGTTGTGAAGATATTGATTGACGAAGAAAATCATAGACAAAAAATCAGGAGCACACCCAGTTTCGAACCGAAGACATAAAGATGTAAATCCAATTTTCCTTTTTTTTTTCACGATGGGCTCAATATTTATTTTTCTCTCCCCATTTCTTCCTAGAAAAAGATAAATGAAATGGTAGAAATGGAATTATATTATTTATCTTTCTCATCTTTTTTACTACATATGTTGTAGGGTATCGTTACGTTTGAAGAAGCTACCACCTCAGTTCACAAACCATTTCAGAACACCATTACAACCCAAGGGGGTGGTGTTCACGCGTAGAAAGAGGGAGATACAGAGAAGAAGAAGGGAGATACAGAGGAGGGGGGAGAGAGCCTCCGTGAAGATCCGTGAAGCCACCCACTCCACAAGACAACTACGAAAGAACGGGACGGTGTTCCCGCGTAAATTGACCTTCAACGTCGGATTCCACACGTGGAATCACCTTCATACCCAACGACCTTACCAAACAAGATAAATGGAAAGTATTTAATTTCTCTTCCCTTAATTCTCTGTATCAAACATGACTTTAACACCCCGTTCCCGAGTTCAACTTAACGAGAGAAAGGAAAAGAAATGAGTGGAAATGAGAAGAAAATAAAAGAAATTGGTGTTCCCGAGTTTTATTAAAGGAGGGAAGTGGAAGGAAATGAGAGAATCAATTTCTCTCCTAACTTTCCTTCCGATTTGGGAGGATTTGGAAAGAAAGAACAAAATGATTCATTTTCCTTCCACTTCTCTCCAACTCGGGAACACGAAAAAAAATTTGTTTTCCTTTCATTTATCTTCTTTTTTCTCATTACTTTCTTTTCTCTTCTCTTCTTTTCTTTTGTTAAATTCGGGAACGAGGCGTAAGGTTGAGAGTTCAAGTCTCGTATGAAGCATAGGTAAAATCTTTAGTACTTTAAGATTAGATTAGATCCCATGTTAAAAATAAAATAAAATAAATCCAAATATATAGTCATTTTTTTAAGGAACCATAAACTAATCAACTATGTCTTTAACCTATGTGAGACCGTGTCTTTAATGTCCTTAACCTATGTGAGACTTGGAACCCTTTGGTAAGTACATAGCCAACTATTGTCGTATGTTTTGTTATATCGTTAATGGCAATGAATCTTAGCAAGAACAAAGGCTATGGATGGGCGGTTTCAGCTGGACTTAATGCCGCTTTTGCTGCCATTTCTGCCAAGTTCATTGGCCCACAGGTAGTTATACCCCCCTTCTCATTTGTATATCGCTTTCTGTTTTACTGTCCTAAAAACCTCATCACATACTTGATCCGAACCCTAAAACCTCTTAACTCGTCACCGTCGATCAATCAGAATTCGAGTTAATCAATTTTTACATAGATTATTTCATTGTTGACGGTGTTCTGATTTGTATTCATGTTTAATTTATCCGATTGTTCATTTCACTATTTTCCATAGAGACATTCAAAAAATAAAAGTTTGCTATTTAAATCCTAGTTAATTCATAAGTATACTTTGAAGAACAGAGCAGTAGTTTGTCGATTTGCTCGTGTCTTGTAAATCTCGATTACTTGCAATTTTGTTTCCATCGTCATTGATGAATCCATTAAAGCATCCAATCTGATTAAAGAATCTAAGCATGATTATGTGCTACTTTGATACTTCTTGCACAGTTAATAGAAAAGTTTTATTCTTCAACAGCTTTTTAGGTATGCCATGGTTATATTTTTCAATGTAGTGATGTGGGGATGCTATGTGAATAGCTTGAAAGCTCTCTCATCTCTTCAAGCAACTGTCACCAACTTTGCAACCAACTTTCTTTCTTCTGGTTTAGCTGGATTTTTCCTCTTTCAGGAACCTCTATCACTCAAGGTACATCTATTATCTAACCACATTAGGTGAATTTTAGCTATTGAAGATTGTAAACTTTCCTTACAGGTTATTATCATTATAGACAATCTGTTTGTATTGATTTGGTTCCACGAGTCTTTTTTAGTAAGGGTGTTGTAGATAATAGTTGATAAATAGCAAGATTTTTATTTACTTCCACTATGTGTCAAATTAGCTTTTTGCATATTTGCATATTTCTTTCCAAATTGAGAATTGAGAATGTATTTCTTGTAATATTCTATTGGTGTTATATTTTGGTAAGAGCGTGCATGAGATTGTAAATTATCATCATATCATGTAAGTGTTTGATATTTCATTGCCAATCTCATTAGTTCCATGTCTGATACAGTGGTTTGCAGGTGCCCTTCTCATTGTAGTTGGTGTATTTGTACTCAGTAGGTCGAGTATAGAAGAGAAAAAGAGCAAAGACTAAAGCTTTATTGGCTTTTTTTCTTGTATAAGAGCCATTTTTTTTTTGTTAATTTTCAGAATCATGATTTCAGTTTCTGTAGATTTGTTCATTCTTAGAACTGATTTGAGCAGACTTTTGTGTTTGAATTTTAAAACAGGGCAAAATACAATTGAAGCATATGATAGTTCTGCTATGTTCTCATACAATTGAAGTAGATTAGAAGAAGTAGAATGTTCTCCTTCAGTTGAATGCTTAAAACCGAATGATTACATGAATTCTGCCATTTGAGAATTAAGAGTGAAAGTCACTTTACAAAAGAATTAGCTAACTGCTCCAACAAACTATACAAACCCCTTGGCACCGACTCAACTGGGAAATGACAAAACTACCCCTAGTTGGACCCTTTATTACAGACGCACAAGACCCACCACAAACATATACCAACTAGCACCAGTTGATTAAAAAGTCAAGAACTAATGTAATGTTTGGTCCTTACTCCTTCCTGTAGAGCTTAAGCTTTTCCTCAAGTTGTATATCAACATAAATCGTTTCATCAAATCCTGTGGATTTTACTAAGATGAATAACAAAAATGAGTTTTGCTAAATCTGAGTTAAATCTCCAAGTTCGTTTTGTTCATTGAGCCATCATCTTCATCATCACTAACACCCGCTTGTCAGGATATCAAAGGAGAGAGAGAGAGAGAGTCCCATCATTTTTATTTAATAAAACTTTAAGTTAAATATAAACAAATACTACATACAAATTACATAAAAATTACAAGGAGGACAAGTTAGTAATTCTAGTTTGGAGAAAGACAAAAAGAATACATGTCCATGAACCACAACTATATTTTTCTTTGAACTTTTTTAAATTGTGACAAATAAAAAAAATAGTTTATTAAACTTATTATTAAAAAAACTATTAAGTAGTTTTTAAAATTATTCATAATATACCATTAATTAATTATAGAATACTCAATTATCCTAAATATCTTTTATGTAACTTTATATCTACCAGCTAGCTAATTGTATCAAACGTAATATTTTTCAGCTATCAATTAGCTTGTTCATCTAACTAATAACTTTTCAACTAAAACCTGGATTTTAAGCTAATAGGTTAAACATAACCCAAAATTCGGAATACTTAACAATTGACATAAAACAATACTATCAGTCAAAGTACATAGCCAAAATGTTGTGTATGTTTTGTTATGTGGTTAAGCTGTAATGGCAATAAATGTTAGCAATAACAAGGGCTATAGATGGGCAGTTTCAGTTGTGCTTAATGTCACATTTGCTGCCATTTTTGTAGGGGTGCTAAATTGGTTTGTCATGTCGTGTTTTTGTCCGACTCGACACGACACACCAATGTTTTATGCAACACGAACAAAACATGATTTCATGTTTATTTTTATTAACATGAAAACAAGTCGATTAAAACACATCACGTCACGACAAATATATCACAATACAATTATTGGTTTTTTAATTCATATTTAATCACATATAACATGACAAACACATGCTAAAATGTGTCAATTTCATGTCAAATTTTGAACACAATATGATGCCGCATCTTTTACACTTGACACAAACACAAATTGGAATTCGATTTCGTACCAAGTTCGTTTCAAGTCGTGTATTTTTATCGTATTGTGTCTAAGATTGACACCCCTACATTTCTGCCAAGTTACAACGTTTGTGAATTTTTCCTACAACAAGTAGGTGATAGTGAAGATCGGCCAAGTAGCTATATAAACCTTCATGATGGTCTTTAGCCCCAATATCAGCTAACATGGAGAACATCCTTCCACTCATACGAGTAACTACTCGTCCAACAAGACCATGTTTGCAAGAATCACATTCCACCCGCTATGCAGTCTAACCATGACTTCCACGATAGTTGAACAAAAATCACCTTCCAATTTTTAACGAGTCGAGTTTCTGCTTTGAGATATTTCTTCACATTAGTAGAGGCATGTAACACCCTGTTCAGGATCATTCGGTGATTCGAGGTCGTGACCTGAAGATCAGTTATCATAAGGATTTAGGCCTCGGGGAAAAGAGAGATTTAGACCCCTTTGGATATGGGTAATGGAAACTTTATCGATCTAAAGATCATTTTGATTCAGATCTGAAGGTTGGAGACTTGTACTGAATGGATTAAGTCGAAAAAGATGAACTTTTGGGTCCCTTTGAGACTTAAAGACTAGATCTTGTTTGTTGGGACCATTCTAATGGGTAAAGTTGGAAACTTTATCCATTATAAAGCTATTATGAACCATAAAAATGTGATCTTGACCCTTCTATCCCTTCCATGCAAGAGTTGTGATGTCATATTGGGTTAGGAACTCAGGGTTTTGGACATTAAGCACTTTATAGCCGTGCAAAGTCATAAAGTTGGAAACTTTATGACTTAGGACATCATTTTGGGTTTGGATCTGAGCTTTGGATGTAAGAACTTAATGGAATAAACTCTTAATGGAGTTTTGGGACTGGGCTGCATACGCTGGGCGTACCTGGTGGTACGCGGTCAGCGCCCCACTTTTGGTCAACATCAGAGTACGCTGGGCGTACTCCGCTGGGAAGAAATATTAACTTTTGGACCTTGACCGTTGACTTTGACTTTGACCAGGGTTGACCAAGTTTGACCTAAGGGCATTTTGGGTAATTTGATTTATAGTTTGAGATTTGGGTTCCTGTTAATTGTATAGGTGACTAGTAGAGATAACTTTTAGAGCAGTGATCGGTGCAACTATTCTTTCAGACTGTGAGGTGAGTCTTCTCGCTGTATCCATGAGTCGAAGGCACCAATGCCAACCTATTACTTGTTATGTGGCATGCTAGTTGTCTTTGTGATGCTTGCACGAAAGACCAGGATCTGACCCCTTGCAATTGTATGGAAGACAAAGATCTGACCCCTGACAATTGTATGAAAGACCAGAATCTGACCCTTGACACTTATATGTAAGACCAAGATTTGGTCCTCGACATTGCAAGGAAAGACCACGGGGTAGCCCATGACATTTGTATGTTTTGGAATGTGGTATTTTGGGGAACTTACTAAGCTTTGTGCTTACGGTTTCATATTTATGGTTTCAGGTACTTTCAGTTCGAAAAGGAGGGGCCCAACGTGACTGCACAACATCCCCCTAGTGTTTTCCGCATTGACAATTAATGATGTTACTCTGATATTTAAATGATATATTCACTTTGATCAGTTTTAGAACAACTCGTTTGTATGATTTATTTTTTTTAAATGAAAAAAAAAATACATTAGATTTTCGGGACGTTACAAGACATAGAGATGGCTTTTCGTCTATATATATATATATTTTTCCATCTTATACATTCATCTTTATGTAAGTTAAATATTGAATCAAGTTATTTTTTATAAAAGAGTGACACAATATCTTTATATATAAAAATTTATGACTTGATGATTCAATCTTCCATATGATATGTTTTAGACAAAATACATGGGAGAAGCAACACAGACTGCAAAACAATTGATTATTTCGTTTGTAACACATAAATTTCGTAATAAAGACGAAAGACGTTTTTACCAACCCTAAAACTATCTTTCACCAAAAACGCATGTTTGCATGATATTGTTCCTTGCATCAAACTTATTGTTTATGTGTAGATACCCATGTAAGCTCATGTTTCAAGCATCAATCTTGATAAACTGTTATTAGAATTTGTGTTAACAATTTCGTAACATAAAATAGAGATAGGGTAATAGGACGCGATACTTGAAAGTTGACATGCCCATCCCAATCATATTATTGTTTATCACATATTATACTCTTTACCATTTATAATGAGGACATTATGATTCAATTTCTTATAGATCATCTAAATCTTACTTTAGAGGATTCTAATAGGATTGAATACCATCCATACAATGTAATTTACCATGTATACACATTACATATATTCAATATATGTTTTTAATGCTCCAAATATGACTATTACTTTTTTTAAGAAAAATTAAAATTATTTACGAGAAAAACGAAAAAAAAAATTAGAGGATAATGATACCTATGAAATTGTTGAGTTACCGTTTCAGAATGTGTATATTTTTATGATGTTATGAATATAATTTGCTCTACACACCAGATAGGCAACCATACAATTTAACCACATGAATTGAAATGTAACAGGAAACATTGTTCAACAAACAATAATTATAAAAATTTGTTAGTTATTTGCCATAAATGATGTGCTCTTGATGAAAACCAAACGAGCAATCGTTAAAGTTGATTAATTAGTTGATTAGAATCAAATTCCAAAATCAAGGTAAAGGAAACAAAAAGATATGCAAATAAGCCCCCCACTTGGCTAGACTTTTAGTTATACATTTTTTTTAGCATGACAACAATTATATTAGGTTGGAGGGAGTGGTGACACATTTGTCATGATCCATGTAGGCGTCACATCAGATTTGTCACACTCCTTCAAATTTTAGCCATTTACATGACATAGGTTGCCACAGTTGCTATTGTATTTTTTTAAAATTAATTAATTTAAAAAAATAAACATTTCAAACATACTATTTTTTTTAAACTAAAATTTCATTAACTTCAAAGAAAATCACACGCTTACACTTAAAAAATAAAACATATTTGAAATTAAAATAATACACAATTAAACTTAAAAAACATAACACACTTGAAATTAAACTAATACACACTTAAACTTAAAAAAATAACACACTAGAAAAAAAATTTAAATTAAAAGACAACGAGTTTAAATTTGAGCAAATTTTGGGGACTGCCTCACAATTTGTCAAAACTCAACGAGCCGGAAATCTTTGTTAGTTTCAACACGGTAATCCTCAAGAGCGTTCTCTAGCAAACTATTTTCATTTTCACTATTTCTAGCTTCATGCATCACCCTACGAAACACAATGTTAAACTGAGTTGTAAGTGCGTTTGCGTGCATCCATTAGAAGTAGATTTCTTCTTTACCTTGAGGGACTAGGGCTTTACGATTGTATTTTTCGGTGACTCTCCTCCAAAAGGCTGTCGTAGGGAAGTTAACGTGGATTGAGTATTCTGTAACATAAACCCATGAACGAACTAACAACATTTCTTCTTCAGGGGACCAAAAACGAACCGCACGAGCCATTAGGAATGAGTTTTTGAAGAAGATGAAAAATAAAAAAGTTAGGAGAATTGAATTAAGAAGATTTGAATGAATAAGGATGATGATATTTATAGTTGAAGATTGAGAGTTTAAAATTTGAAATTTTGAAAAAAAAACGGTTATATTTTTGAAATTGTGTATTTTTTTTTTTTGAAAAGATGGTATTTTTTTTGAAAAAAGAGTTTGAGTAAATGGTAAAAAAAGAAGGAAAAATGTTATTTGCAAATTTCTCTCTCATCCGTGCAACCCCACCGAATTGCCGAGCCGAGCTCGACATGCCTCGGCCTCGGCCCGGTGTTCGCCGAGCCCACTTCCATCAGCCTTAAACGGCTAGTAGAGAGCTAACAAAAGTA